ATGTCCATGTCCATCTATCCCATCAGTCAGTCAGTCAGTCCATCCATCACTCGTAAAATATGGAAAAAAAGTTTCACAAATAGCTTGATAAAATTTGAAAATGTAAAACTCTGCATTGCACTTGCCCCATCGACATTTTCAGCGATGCGGCAGGGGGGCGGGTTTTCGATCATTTATTTTGATTAACTAAAAAATCATTTGTTATATAATTTTTGTTTGAAATACATTTTTTTATACATTTATTTTTTTTTTAATTTTATTTTATTTATTTAATTTTGTTCTTTGCAGTTTAATTTTGCCCCAACTAAATTTATTTTTATCGGACGTGTTAGTCCGTAATAAGTGCCATAAAGCACATAAGGATATGCGCATTACTTAATCCTGTCCCAGGATGCCCTTCAAAGTCCAATCGCAGTCGAAATATGATAACTCTTATTCGGTCCGTCGAGGGCGGACTGAAATATGAGTCAATTATACTTCCCGTGCGCATAAATTAATGATTAATTGCAAAATAAATTGACTTGCGTCACTTAATTACGTTGCGCGTGTCCGATAGGGCAGCGGAGAGATGGAAGATACAGCAAGCAGGGGGCAGTTGTCACGCCCCTTGCCACTCAGCCAGCCAGCCGCCTGTCAACGTACTCACACAGATACCCAACCAAACACACACACACACATAGATATAACCATACGCATGCACACATAACGGCAATTTCTGCTGTTGACATTCACAGTCAAACATGCTTAATTAATGCCAGAAAACGCTACCATCGCTCAGCCTCAGCCTCAGCATCAGCCTCAGCCTACACAGCCTCTGCAACTCCATTGCCATCCATCTCCATCGCTGCTGCCCGACCGACCGTAATGAGAGCCAAACAGTATGACAACATTAATGCGAACATTAACAAAAACTGCTGGCGCTGCCTGCCTGCCACTGCCACTGCTGCTGACTGCCAAAAATAAACACTTGCAGGCATCGGCATCGGCATCATAATAATGATACATAGCCCGGGACCAGGACCAGGACCAGAGTCAAAGTCGAAGTTGGGTCTCAAGTAAGTGGCAGGGCACTCCATGTCTGGCTGCTTCTTGATGAGCAATTTCCACGCTGGTCCCTTCGCAGCCCTCTCAGACCCACTTAGACCCGCGGAGCTAGTCGGTCGTCTGCAGCATTGTCTGGCAAGATGCTCATAATTAGGCGGAATAAAAGACAGTGGGAGCGTTCGGAATAAACCCCAGAAAATGCTGTACTTAAAATACTGTATATTGCAGAAAGAATTGCCAAACAATATTCTTTCAATCAATAAATACACAAGGAGTTTGATTGCATCTAATTACAATTTTTAGTTTAGAAATTTACAAGTAATTGAGCGATTGCCATTGTCCTTGATTGTTCGCTCGCTACTCATCTGTCAGATGGGCGAAAATCAATAAAAACCTGGCCAAAATGGCATTCGCACCATTCCAGTTTATCCGCTTTGGCCCCCCGCACCCCACTCGCAGCACGGTTCCCCAGCTCGTTTCGCATTCACAGAGGATGGCGGCGGGGAGAAGCAATTAACGCTGAATTGATACGCACAGCCAGCGCTCGGGAATGAAAGGCATTGAACCTTATTTCGCTCATCGTTCTGGGCGACAGGACGACAGGGCGACAGGGCGACAGGGGCGAACCGGCTGCGTTGCCGCGTAAGCGTTGGAATTAAGACGTAATTAAAACAACGCCAAATGAGAGCAGAGTCCGCGGCCCAAAACCCTTTTAAGAGTGAGTCGTACACCCGGCAAAGAAGAGAAGCGAAGCGAAGTGGAGGGAGAAAGGAGTCAAAAGATTATTTGTATTTAATTTCAAGTACTCTTCTGCCAGGAAGCCACTGCTCCTTTCCTTTGGCTGCTCCTTCTGGGGCAGAGACACAATTTCTCCGCTTTTCCCTCTATATAAAACTCAATTATAATTAAGCATTTAAGTGGAAATAAGCATAGCGGCAGCAAATGAAGCGAACTTCGCTAGCATAGAGTGTATAGTGGAGTTTGAGGCAGCGACAAGGACAACAAGGATGCTCGACCCAGGCCATTTTTTATTAGTGGTAGCCAGCATCCTAATTGCGCAGAGTTCTGCTCGAAGTTTTGGCAATGAAGAGAAGTGAAGGTGGAGGTTAAACAGGAGCTATCCAAAAAGAGAGAGGGGGCCAGAACACGAGACGGCATAGGGCCCGGCCCGTATTTAATTATCGTTCATTGCTGGGGATGTTTTATTGGTGGTACGTTTGGCAGGAGATACTGTTACACAAGACAAGAGTCCCGTTGCCATGCCAGTGGATTAATTGTTACGTCAACTCATTTCATTTACATCCGCCATCAGCCATCCCAAAATTCCACTTGCATAACGTGGCGTTGGCCCAGGGGAATCGAAATGCAAGAACTATCTCAATTAGTGAGAGCCTGTCATATCCTTGAAAGACAGGCAAGCAGAGAGCGCGAGATAGAACCGAAATATAATAGCCCTGGGTCAGCCAAATAGGTCAACGATTTAATTTAGTTTTATTTTCTATTTAGGAACTGACTTTATTCGGGCCAGCCAAGTGGATAAATATGTATCGTACGACAGCTGACAACGCGGCAGAAATAAAAACGGTAAAATGGTGAAACGGAAAATGCAAAATGGAAAATGGACTGAAGTGAAGCCTAATGAAAGTGCTACGATGAAAATAAGTTCGTGGATGTGAAATTTTAATGAACTTTTAAACGTAATGAAAGTAATTTTCAAATGGCAACCGAACCGAGCAAAGGAATGAGAGAAAAGAAGAAAAATAAAAGCCATGGAAGGGCAAGCAGGCGGCTTATTTCATCAGAGGGTATTATTATTTTTTTTAAATGCATATCTGACCATACAAAAAATTATATATATGTAGTAGTATATATATTTTATTTATGGTTTGTATTTTTTTTTTCTAAAAAATTTTTTTAATTACACTTTATCAGCCGCAAATTTAAAAAAATATAGAATCAATATGTCCCATATCTAGGAACAATCTGCAATGGGTATCTGAGGATTCGGAATACCAGCTGGCACACTTTTCTTGTTTTTCTTTCAAGCTCTTCTTGGTCAGTCCAATGAAATTCAATTGCGGCAAAAGTCGAGGCGGGTCGGGCAGAGAGAGAGAGACGTTCGGTCTCTGGCAACTTTTGTGCGTCCTTCAGACAGACCCAGCCCGCACCCGAACCCGAAACCGTACCCAAACGAAATGGGGTTCGGCTCGAAATGATTTCAAAATGGCATTGAATGTAGCATTTAATTTGTACGCCACAGTCGTCCGGCTGCGGGTTCTGGGTTCTTGGTTCTGTTCCTTGGCCTCTTGCCTTGGTATTTATAACTGTTTATTTGCCGTGTGCTCGGGCAAGGATCTCCTTTGGCTGCAGCTGCTTTGGCTGCTCTGAAAGGGATTAATTAAACTGACAACTGACGTCTGTGGGTGGTGGGTGGCTGGGATGGCGGGGTGTGGGTGTAGGAGGGTACTCTTACATTCTCTCTATCCTATTTTCCACCCCGTCTTTGAAGCCGGAGTTCGTCATAATTAGTTAAATGCGCTCTGCCATAACAATGAGGAGAGTCCTCGACTGCCAGTCGACTTCACATTTTTTAATATCTGCTGGAATTCGTGGCAGAGAGAAGAAGAAGTAGAAGTAGCAGCAGCAGCAGCAGCAGCAGCAGTAGGAGAAGACCTTTAATTGCTGAAATATTTATTAATAATTGGCCCAGGCGAAAATGTACATAAAATAAAATTAATTAACTGCACAGCAACAGCAAAATCTGCGAAGGATAGTCAAGAGGCAGAATCTTACATTTTATTTACAGTTAGTCATTTTATGTGGGCGAACAAACACACACGCACACAAACGTACACACACTCGAACTGCCATTGCTACTGAAAGTTTGGTCAACCGACTGAAGGATACCCGCTAATCGTATTATTTATTACAACTCTGGAAGGGGTAAGAAGGAGGAAAGGAGACAGAGTGTATTTACAGAGATTGTGGCTGTAAATCATGGATCAATTGTGGGTACTAAAATGTTTTTCCAGATTTGAAATATGATTAAGATGGTGTACATAGAGAGTACATTTTCCCTGGCTCTAAATACATCTAATATCCATGCAGCATACCCATTCTGTTCTTTTGGCACCCTGTAAAAAAGCTTCTGCCGCTTATTTGCCAGCAATTAAGTGCGCCGAAAGAGATGGAGATACTCATTTCAAATGGCGCCAGCCTGAGTATCTGTGTATGTGTGTGCTTATCCCTCTGTCTGCGGGTGTGTGTGTGTGTGTCTGTGTGTATTTTAATTAGAAACTTGTACATTTTGCCTAATTTGACAAATTGTTTTAATGCAGTGTGCAAACTTTTTGGCTACATTGCGACACAAATTAGTTTTTGGCGGCAAACAGAAATTGGGTCGAGTTTGGGCAGGAGAAACTTGCAGCAGAAACAAAACCAATCAAATGCGGCTTCCAGTTGCCAGTTTGATGAGCCGCTGCCGCGCACAAAGTTATGCAACATATCGGCTGCCATATCCATGCATGCCAGGGATTATTATGAAGCTCTCAGCCACCTCCGCTCCTGCAACTGGCTGTGTCTGCCCAACACTTAATTGTTTCTGCTGTTGACGTTGGCGGGGCGGGGATGGTGGCAAGCCCATCCTGTGGGGCAAGTTGGCTAATTAGCGCCTGTGGCTTGTTGGTTTCTGGCGAACCCAAACGAGTAGCTGGGACACACGATAAAAGGTGGTGTTCCATTAATTCCTTGGGTTCATAAAGACATATAAAGTAGTGGTCATCAAATTATGCAGTTTTTATGCAGCTTCCTGCTTTGCAGTCTATCAAGAATTTAACCCAATTTCATTCTTGTATGAAGTACGGCCCCATCCCCGCCATTGCATTGGGCCCAGTGCATTCATCATCAAACGAATTTAGCTGGCCGTGCCGTGCCAAAATAAACAAGTGTTTTTGTTGTTGTTGTTGTTGTGCTGAAATTTACTTTATGGGATTTTTTTTTGGAATTTTGTTTACACTTTTTCCGGTACTCAGAGAATCGAACAGATTGGCAAAAATGATTACATGGCAAAAGTAAGTAATAAATAATTAACACAACGAAAAAAGGAAACAAAACCAATTAAATATGGAATTCAATCTATGCTGGAATGGATTTGTGCTGCAGAGCAACCTTATTGATGCTCAGCTTCTCGTAGAGTTTGACCAGCTCATCCTTCTGCTGGGACAGGTCCATGGCACGCTGGCACCGTTCCGTCCAGGCATCGGGGTGGTTAATGGCCAGGCTCTCAAGGCTCAGTTCCACAGCCTTCTTGATATCCTTTTCGGGGCTCTCGTGGTAGAGTATCATCAGGTCCATGGCACGCTTGATGAATGTGTCCCAGACTTCGTGCTGGTGCTGGATCTCCTCCTCGGATTCTCCCTTGAAAGTGGGCGACAGCTTGCCCACCGCCAGAGCGGCCATTGAGCGTATGCCCGCCGAGGGATCGTCCATGCGTTGCATGGCGGCATATGCCAGCGGCTTAAGCTCCTCCACGGTCAAGCCGCGGAAGTAGGGCACTGTCTTGATGGCATAGTTACGGGTGTTTGAGTTGCGATCTTCGAGGAGGCTGGGCATGTGCTTGACCAGCGAGGGCAACACCTGGAGGACATCCTCGGGGGCACTCTGGGCGAGGGCGCACAGCGTGGCCATGGCCAGGGAGCGCATGGACTCCGAACTAGCGCCCGCCTTCCAGGTCAGATACGGCTCCACAATCTCCGTGACGAAGGGTTTCATCATGCTCGGCATGTCCGGCTTACCGTCAGCGGAAATCACTGTACTCGACCAGTGCAGCGCGGCCATGGAGAGGCTGCTAAAGATGCGAATTTGTGCACTGGCGGAGCAGTGCTCGAAGACGATCTTCACCCGCTCGATGAGGCTCTGCAGGTAGGAGCGCCGAAGGTGACAGATGTTGATGAGCCCGTCCAGCAGCAGGACCGGCTCGGCATTATCCTCCAGGGCGGCGTCCAGGTTCTGTACGTCTCCCAGTGCCATCGGGAAGAAGTGCTCGTGCAGCTGGCCCAACGTCACATTCTGCAACTGAGCGATACGCTCGATGACCATTTGGCCCACATTAAGGCCGGAATTGTCGCTGGTCAGGGAGTAGCCCAGCGCCATGACCTTTATGCCAACGATATACACGTTCAGGTACAGCTCCTGAAGCTCCTCATGTGTGGCCGTAACCTCGAGCGACTTGTTCAGAATGGTGTCCAGCAGCTTGAGTATGTGCAGCTGGAAGCCCGGCTTCAGGGTGTGCGAGTACTCGGTGTCTCGCAGCAGCGTGCTCAAGCGGACGAGATGCTCATAGCAGGCACTGCTGGAGGCTGTGAACATGTAGTAGAAGCATCTCAGGTACGATTCGCGCGCGTTGCGCTGCAGGCCATCAAAGCCGTGCTCGATCCAGGCCTCGTAGCAGAGCAGGCGACCCATCAGATCGGCCACCTTGGCGGCCTCGGCACTGACCTCAGCCACGGAATCGCAACAGGCATGCGACACATCCGGATATATCTCATAGAACTTGGCCGTCATTGCCGCCTCCGCATGGACGACGAACTGGTACAGCAGCTTCAGCGCGTGCAGGCGGACATTGTCCTTCCAGTCGGTCGTCTCCCGAGTGATCAGGATGAGCAGACGCAGGGAGCGCTGCACCAGGCCGCGGCAGCCGATCGTTGGGCGCTTCACATCCTTTGGGTAGTTGTCCACGGGCAGGTCGCTGATCTCCTGCTGCGAAAGCTCCGCCTCGTTCTCCTCGTAGTACTGCTTGCCGCACTTGACCCACAGGGGCTCGATGTAGCTGCGCACTTCCGGCGAGTCGTCCTTCAGGCAACACAGCACCAGCGGCAGGATGCGCTCGAAGAAGGAGTAGCGATCGAGCAGGTCCATCAGCATTAGGACACCCATAGTTCCCACCTCGCGACGCACCAGGGGCATGGGATCCATCAGCAGGGGCGACACCTCGCCAAACAGGCGGCGCATGCTCTCTGCGCTGGCATCCATGTGCAAGCTGAGCCGTCCCAGTGCCGCGACGGCCGAGATGCGGGCCGGAGCGTGCTTGTGATTGAGCATTCCGTACAGGGCAACGGCCAGCTGTTCTGTGTAGGGACGCAGCTCCGCTGTCTCGGCCACACTGCACAGGGCCACCAGCGTGGTGCAAGCCTCGCGCTGCACCACTGGATACTCATCCCGGATGGCCTTGATCAGCACTTTGACAACCAGATTGTAGCACTCGCGGAAGACTCCCACGTTGCCCATCTTCGCATACTTGCGCACCATCAGGTGCAGCTGTCCAATGTACAGATAGCGTATCTCCTCGCTGGGCTCCAGCGTCTCGGACTGGCCCATGCGCTCGGTCAGCGTGGACAGCACATTGAGCAGGTTGAAGTCCATTGGTGGCAGGCGCTCCAGGTAGGCGTCCACCAGGCGCACAGCACCATCGCGCACGCTCTCGAACCGATCGTGGTAGCACTTGAGCAGATGCAGATACAATCGGTCAAAGTACTTGGCCAATAGCTCTGTGCTGTTGTCATCGTTGCAGTTCTCCACCCAGCTGAGCATCCGCTTCAGGGCCTTTGTCTTTTGGGCTCTGTCCGTGGACTCGAGCTCCTCGCAATCTGTCTTTGCATTTTGCTCGATTTCATCGCAGTTCATAAGTGACATTTTTATTTTTAGTATTTGATACGTTTTAGAATTCTTGATGAAAAAAAACTCGATTTGATCTGATTCCCAGCTAAGTCTGCTGTAAAATGAGAATGGAGAGGCGTTAGGTATGCGACAATAGCAACAACAAACGAAGCGGTTGCTATGATTACGAACTGCTCTACTGGATGGGAACTATTCCTACAAATAACAGGTAAACATACAAAAGCCGCCTTTGTTCGTCTGTTCTGTCTGTATATATTCATTCTTAAAGCTTCCATGAACCGCAGATCAATTTGATCCCAAAACATTGTACTGTTCTGCGGAATTACTTGACTATCAGATAAACATTAGCCCACAAATAATTGTAAATTGTTTCGCTGTGAGGCGTGAACTTTGTGGTTTAAATATTTTCTTTCGCGTTTATTCCTTTACTTTTCAATTTTGAATGCACAAAAATGTGCACACTGATCCGAACACAAGTAGCTGAACTATCTTTTAGCTTGAAAACACTTTTGGGCACATTAATTGGCCAAGTTATCACATCTTTATATTGTTTATTTTGTTTAAACAAAGTGGACGCGTCGTGACCGTGGCAACAGCTGTCGCTTGGTGTTGCAAAACATTCGCATATTCGCAGGCCAGTGCTGTAAAGTGTACGCCAGGGCGCGAGTTTTGAAAGCTGCCCTGAATTGTTGTTTGATTTGTTCTACTTTGATCATTTGTTTGTTGAGCTAATTAAGTCAACTATAAATGATATTTCTGTAGAAACTTAAGGTTGTTGCGGCTGCAGCCGTCTCTTTTATGAGCTCCGCTCAGCGGCGACCCATAAAAGCTGTGCAGGCCCGCCTCTGGCCGCTGGCGGCGGCGGCGGCTCCCCTCCTTATCTTTGAAACCGGCGACTATCTAATTGCGATGTCGTTCCTTATCAACATCGGGTCCCAACAGAGAGCGACAATATCTAAGATTGATTGGCTGCGCACCGGCTTTGGGGGTGGGTTCGCTGACTAACTGTCTGACTGAACGACTGACTGACTGACTGGCTGACAGATTGGCCGATTGGCGGGGGGCTTGTGATGGAAGGAAATCACATAAAATGTCTATTTTTATCGGAACTTAATTGCATTTGTGGGTCACAAAAATTTGGGTTATAATAAACACACAGAAAATGAGTTTTGGGTTCTGGGCTGGGTCGGAGTCACAATGGCATTATCTATATCTCACTGATATTATGTTTTAATAGTTAATTGATGGGTGTGTGCCTTATGAAGAAGCCAGAACATAACTAGCCTAGCCGATAAATGGAATGGATTTTGATTTTTGGTTTGGTGGATAAAATTTCTCTCTTTTGGTTGAATTGTGGGACGAGCTTTTTGTTAAAGTTAACTGTTATTAGCGATCACAGATTTGGTTTTATGGCTGTGCTTGAAAGACAATCGCATTGTGAATCCTACTCAAACATCCCAGCCAGCATTTGGAACTTCGCATGTACAATAATCACCTTGAGGAGTCTTTTTTGAGTCGTTGAAATTTAGAATAAATATTTATTTTATAGAGACGACAGAAGATACATTTCTAGGGAAGCAATCTTTTTGCTGGAATGCGGATAAATTTATTTATTATGCCACGATATTTAGTGGAATATTTAGAAAGAATTATATAGCATATGTTATTGATATCTTATAAATCTAGCATAACTTGTGGAAGAATTCCTTGCGGATTGTAAGTGGAATGTTTGAGGGAATCAATCTGGAAAGATTACTAAAAAAATCTCTGCTCAGCTTGTGGGAAAATGCCCATTGGATCTAGGGAAATCTGAAGATATCCCCGAACTCATAGCATGGGAATGTGCCGCTTTTATAATCCCTTGATTGTTCGAGTGGGTAGGGCAGGGTACGAGTACGAGTACGAGTATCTGTTGATCTTTCCGTTTGAATTTAATTTAATGCCTGCGCGGAATTTTTTCTGTTGTTTTCAATTTCCCTTTCGGTATCCCCATTTGGTCTGTGCGTTGTGTGTGTGTGTGTTTGTGTGCCCCTCAATCCGTGTTTGTTGCAAGATTGGCGTGCCCAGGTCCCCGGCATATTTTATGAGCCGTTTCCCCTTGCTTGTTGTTGTTTTTGTTTTTTTTTTGTACCCACTGTCAAAAATTGTTGCTGTCATTTTTATTGAAAGCCAGCACTGTCGCTGTAGCTGGCCAGCGTCGCAGTCGCAGTCACAGATACAGTCGCAGATACACAGATACAGATACACAAGCGCACTCATACGAGTGAATGTATATATTGTTGCTCCCATTTGTGTGCACAATTCGATTTCATACCTTTTTGTTGAGGCTCCGTCAGGCAGTGTGGGGGGGAGGGACTGTGACTGGGACTGTGACTGTGACTGGGGTTCAGACACGGCACACGCTCCAAAGCAATTAAGCGCATGAATCAGGTTCGTTCGGTATTGCAGGGCCGCAGCGGCAGAAGCGGCAGAAGCGGCGGATGTATCTGTGTATCCGTGGGGAGTGCGGCGTGCGTTATTTCTTTTGCACTTATTGTGTTGGTTTTTTGTTGTTGTTTTGTTTTGTTTATGGGGGTACGAGATATGTGATAGTATCACCGGCACAATACTTAATTGATATGAAATGAAGTCATTTGGCAAAAGCATTGGCAGAGTAATGGACCGATCCGCCAGCCCGGCCGTTCATTCAATTTTGATTCGATGTCGGGGGCCAGTTCAGTTATATGTATGTCCATAAGAGTATGCACGATATACATACATATATATGTATATTTCTGTTTTGTTATATTGACTTTTTGAAAGCAATTGTGCACTGCACTGCACACACACACACACACATGCCTACATTTCAGGCTGTGGCTGGGGCTAACAAACAAAACAAAGAAAAAAGAGTTTCGTTTCAATTAAAAATAACATTTTTGGCGCTTTGCCGCTGGCTAAAGTGCGGAAGCCGCCTGACTGCATTCGTGGGATGCGAATTGGCCCGGTTCGCGTCGGGCTCCGACTCGCTCTGCAGATAAAGCCAAAAAGCTGACTGGCTCATAACAGTCATAATTATTAATTAGACACAGATACACATATGTGTGTGTGTGTTGTGTGTGTGTGCATGGCAAAACGAAACTCGACTTGCAGCAGGCAGGCAGTCGCACTTAAATGGACTTGTTACACAGTCGAGCGGCGGCTGCATGCAAAATGCAAATTTACCAATTGATATTGATTGAATTGCCAACTGCTGGCTAGCGGAATGGAGCCGTCGGGACTGGAACTGGAACTGGGACTGCGAGTGGAGCCGGGGGACTGTAAACGCTAATTAGTTTTATATTTCAAACTGGCCGCTTAAGTGAATGACGGACTGGCCGACGAACCGCGTCACTCACTCGAAACCCAGTTGATTGAGTAGTGTGTGGTGTGAGTGTGTTTGCGAGTGTTTACGAGTATACTCGTACTCGTCATTAAATGCTACATACCCCCCCGAGTACTTGGGGTATATTGTTTTCAAGCAGATAATGTTAGCCGAACCGGCATGATTTTGGCGACTATTAAGGCAGGCCATAAAATGTGCCGCACCAAAAATAATCGTGACACTCAAAAATTCTCAAGATATGGGGAAGCACACTTATCAGCTGTGCTACAGATATGATAAACACTTTTGAAATTAGATAACTATAACTGACGGAATGCAAAGGAAACCCCTAATATTCACTACTTCAATGTTCGAGGGGAGACTCTTCTTTATCTATGGATTATCTATGTATCTAGCTATTTTATATATTATTGAATAATCCCAACTAGAAACGGGTATCTTATTGTCGAGCCACCGCTCTCTTGTATTTTGTTATATTTCTGTTCCGATTTCTCGGAATCACTGATTAGAAATGTTGCTAATGGCTTGACTTTGCTTTTGAGAAACAGAAACAGAGCCAGAGAGAAGGAGAAGGAGAGAGAAAAACGGGTATGGGATGGTGGCTCCTTTTGCTGTCCCTGTGCCGGTCCCGGTCCCAGTTCAAACCGATTCCAGGCCAATATGTAGCTATAAAAAGTTTGCCATACAAGCAAGTGCTGTGTAAGTGGCTTCCCAATAGCCCCCAGTCGTATTCGTGTTCGCAGTACCCAGTCCCCAGACCACAGACCCTGCCTTGCCATGCCATGCCATGCCTTGCCCCTTGTTGGCATTTCATATTAATGTGCGCCGTTTAATTGCGTGACTCATCATCAGTGGAGCTCTGTAATCGCCGTCTGCCATCATCTGTTCTCTGTTCAAGAGGAGCGAACTCGTTACTTATTTGCCGTCTGCCGCGGCGGCGACTTGTTGGGGGCCCGTCGTTGCCGTTGCCGTTGCCAGGCTTGGCTTGGGTCTTGGTCTGGTTTTGCTTCTTTGAGCTGGCTCTACGCCGTGTTGGAGTGGCAGAACAGATGAAAGTTGAACTCATAATTAATAAAGTATGTGGCTGGCAATGAGCTGATGAACGAATTAAGCTTTTCTTTTGCCATCAGATTGATAAGTAATTTTCATCAGAGGAAATTAATATTTCAACGATTTATTACTCGAATGGAATGGCTCGGACTCGCTTTTTCTTTTTGGTTACGGGCTACTTAACAATCATTATCCCCCCCCCCTGTCTGAATTATTAATTTCTGTTGGGTATTCCATGAAGTTCTATAATCTGACCCAATTATCTTCATCTCTTCATTTCAAGTTATTCATTTGCTTGTGTTAATTGTCATAATTTACCCAGAAATATCTCTACCACAATATCAGCAGGAAATTTAAATTAAACAAGAGTTCCGTTTCATTTCGTTGGGTATTTATTTTTATGATCCATTGTCACTTAGTTTTTTTTTCCACTCCCAAGTTTCCCTTTTGCAGATTTTTGGCTCAGTTGCAGCCTGATGGAAAATATGATTTAGCCGGATTAGCATTCGAGATGATCGCATAAAGTGCCGTAGGCTAATCAGCCACTCACTTTGTTTATGCAATCTGTTTTCAGAAAGCTATTCCCATTATTTCGATTATTTGTTTATTTTCCATGCGAGTATTAGCGTGAAAAAATGCAGGCAACCTGTGTCTGTGATTGTAATGAGAGCTGCAAATGCTTTTTGCTGCCTTTGCATTTAATTTTCTACCATTTACATATTTGCGTAATCGGCCCAGTCCCAGTCCCAGGCCCCCATTCTCAAATACCAAATGGCTGCAGGGGGGTGAGGGATACGATATGGAGACCGCGTTATGTTTGTGCAGTCGCATAGTTTCCAATGCGATACACACATACGTATGGCGGATCCAGACTGACCAGTTCCAGGCCATACCATGCCCATATCATACCATGGCTTGGCATGGCTTGGCAATCCATTCATTCATCGCAGCGAGTGTCAGACGTCTGTCAGTCAATCAGAGAAACAGTTTGAGTAACAATTTAATTAATTTCAGTTGGTAATGCGAACCTGTTATGCTATAGCCATAGATATTAGATATCATCGCTGTGCTATTGCTGCTGTTGCCTGTGAATGAAATTGCCTCTTAATTATGCATAATGCCCATGACATGACTCAATTAAAGGCCATATTCGGATGGCCAGACACAAGCACAGCCCCAGATGACTGGCACAAAGTTACCCACAAAATATTAAACGAAACAGATACCAGTCACTAAATGCAGAATTTGGACTCGTGTTTCGTGCACTCTTATTAGTTTTTGTTATCTTGCTCGGGTAATTATCACAGACAAAGACACACATACACACCGACAGATAGACAGACAGACAGACAGACAGACTATATCTCGCGCATTCCGTATCTGTGGAATGTATCTGCCGCTGCCGCTGCTGCTGCTGCTGCTTGTGGCAGTGCAACCAAAACAAGCCGAAAGCTATCTGATGTCTGGTGTTTTATTTCCTTTTTTAGGGCATTTTTTGGGCAACTTTTGGGCATGCAAAAGTTGAAGTTTAATTTGTATGTAGGGGTACTTGAATGGGTACATCAATTAATTGAACCCATAAACATTAAATTAAATCTATGAAATGCTGAAGTTATCAGTGCAGAAGTTAAAGCTTTCATCGCTGATCAGCAGTTACAAAATATGAATGGTGCAGCCTAATCAGCTCTTCAATTTGATTGCATGATTCTACCAAGCTCCGCATTATATATACCTACTATGTAGTAATAGCTACTACTACTGTGTATTGTGGATTGACTGTCCTTTTGTTTACGCACCACAATAAGCGCAATCATGTCGGGGGGGTGGTTTGGTTTTCTTTTACATTTATGCACGCCCCGTAATCATTTGTTTACATTCCAAATAGTTGCATCAATTGGCAGTGCAATGTTTTGCCTTTTACGATTACGTTGCAACCAATAATAAATGTCAGAGTGCTGTCTGACTGATTGGACATGGTTGGTTTTGCGAGAGTGGCAGTGGCAGTTAGGTTTGGGTTTTGGGCTTGGGAACTGCCATGGGGCAAGTAAATACAGTTTTCAGTTAGTCATCAATAGCTGTCGACGACCAAAAACCAAATGGCAGGCAGCAGCAGCAGAGGCAGGCAGCCACCGAAACTTGCAACCTCATCGTGAAATGGAAATTAATTATATGTCAACAGCATGATTACAGCGAAATTTAACTAATTTGATGCTGGAAATATACGTTTGATACGTTTGGGTTGATAAGATAATACCCAAAGTGATTTATCTAGTTCGATGGTCTATTAATTTGTTGCGCACAAAGTCAGATTTCTCCGCCAATCAATTGATAGTATTGATATGAATCATTTGGGTTCAGGGAGCTTATACGAAACTTTAAACAAAATGACGTCGTTTCACGTGAACGATTAGAAAATTCACGATTATGTACTTTGATTAATTGAAATTGATTTTTAGTTGCATTTAGCCCCCGGGGGTCATCGACGTTGTCGGTGTCTGTCAGTGTCAGTGCCTTCTGGGAATCCCATAAATCTGGTTCGAATTGTTATGCGCAAAAACAAGTGCCACGTGTTTATTGGGAGGCGCTTTTCCCGGAACTGATAGTGTCTTTTGGACCGTATGACCGTATAAAAACAAGCATGGGTCCCCGCCATCTTATCTCGTCCTAGAGTGAGCCCTACGGCTTTGACCTGTCACTGGGCTGACGAGGAGATTCCAAGGAGGAATTGTACGTCGTTTATAGATTATGTATGTATAGGGCGTTAGTGGGACTTACCTGTGTGGGTGCCACGCGGGCAGTACCCGTACGGGGGGCGTTGAGTGTATCCAAAGAGTCAAGGTGAATGGAAATCCAATTAAATGATTTTCACTTGCTTTTTGAACGTTTTTTGTTTCTTTATTGGTGAGCTGAGCTATTTATAGTTGTGGGGGTGGGGCTGTTGGTTTACCGAAAGGTCACCTTGTTTTGTTTTGTTTTGTTTTTTATATTCCGCTTTATTTTCCTTGGGTGGTTTTCATTTGGTTTTCATTTTTTTCCTCTATTTGATATCCTTTATTTTTCGCTCACTTTTTTATGGCTGTTTCTTGTCGCTGACGTTTTACATGGCATGGCTCTTCGGCTTCTGCTGCTGATAATAATCCTTAATTAGTCTAACGAGTTGCAAATTAATCCACTTTCCCTAATTAAATTGCCTCTGCTGCGACAGAGTACAGAAAAAAATTCTATTGAAAAAAGTACCAAGTACAAAAAAAAACAGGAAAAAGGGGAAGATAATTCGTGGCCGAAGCTTTAGATACCCTCGCTGAGTAGCAACATTTTGGAGTTTGATCTAATGGAAGTGCCACACTTGGGGTCTGGCGGATTCCCGAGAAAGCTTCCTACTCTGCGTTGCAAGCTGCTAGACAAAATCAGAGCACCCCTCTGGAAGGGTATACGAAATGAAAGAAGGAGCAAAAAACGCGTGAATTCCCAGAGATGGAGAGAAATGTAATTAATTCATTAGCCAGGCCATTGACAATTATTGATTATTGTTTTGCCTTTTCGATTTTGAATTAATTTTAATGTATTTTCGTTTCAGTTTTCAGTTTGGTTTCATGTATTTGTTTTTCTGTGGTGTTTTTTTTTTTTGTTTCAGGCATTAGCTGTACAATTTTGTTATGGCCCGCACGTTGTTCATTTATTTAATTTTTAATTATTTTGAAATGTGTTCTGGTTTCATAATTGGCAGCCCATTGTTTACCCCCGCCCTGTCTACCCTTTCTCGCTGTGTTTTTGTGATTTAATTAAATACATTGATATTTATTTATAAATGTATGTAGAAGGGGAAATGGGGGACCCCACCAAGTCGGCTTTATTTGTCTTGTGCTCATTTTGAATTTGGCTCTCGGCCTCGCCCGCTCGACTCGCTCAAAATGTGGCAAAATATTTAATTTGTCATACAGACTTAACAGATTTTAATTGTTGCAAGGGACGAGCTGTGCATATATACATTTTTGTGGTAAATATATAAAATTTGCCTTTCCACATGACATGTCAAATCAAAAGACAATTTGCATTGCAATTTTTGTTACAGAACAAATTTAAAGAATAATTTGTGAGCAAATTGTATACAAATTTGAAAGTGGCAAGAATGGGAGACATTTTTTGGGTTTTAGGACAGAGATTAAAACACCGACGGCAAAAGGAGTAGCACGGATAAATTCAAACTTTTTGTAGTTTTTCTGTTTAAGAGGCCTTCAAGGCGGCAATTAAAAGGCATTAATTGTAAGTGTAGCTCCAAATTGAATCATTAAGAATCCACTTTAATTCAGTCCCAAGTCCAAAGATCAATCGGTTGATTCATAAATACAAAATATCATTATGGAATCTTTGGTTAAACACATTTTAGTATGAGCAGCGGAACTTTAGCTTTGCTTTAATTTCCTCAATGCGAGAGTACAGTAATTGTTCTTTTGATAACTGTTTATTGAGTTATTTGCGCAATTATTGTTAGCTCCGTAATTGTATCATTACTGTCTCGAAAATTCACACACTGCAGTGCACTGTACACGTGTAGTAGTTGTTGGCCCGCTTTTTGAGTTTAGTGGCTGCTTCGCTTGCCATTTACAAATTAATTGGGTTTTTCGTTTAATTGTTTTTTTTTTTTTTTTTTGCTTCACTTGATGCTTTTTATAAGCTTTTTATTTAATTTAATTTGATGAATTTTATAAGCGTTTTATTTCATTGAATACGGTGAATTTTAAAAGCGTTTTATTTCATTTATTTCGCGGAATTTATGAACGTTTTGTTTTCAGCCCGGTGTGCGGTGTTCCGAACTGAACCGAACCGCAGTGAAGCGACAATTAAAACTTGAACTTTGGGGGCACAGTAATGGCAGTTTTGTATTTTGATTACCATTATATAGTTATTCATTTGCTTTTTCTTATTTATTATTAATATGAGCGAGGGAACAGCAACAGCAACAGCATTTATGGCCAGGCGCGTAATTAATGGGAAACGAACACACGGCCGACCATAAAGTGGACTTCAATTACGATCCCAAATCACACACACACACACACACACACACACACACACACACACACACAGAATATGGAGGTAGATTTCAGGCGAATGCTTTATTTATAACACCTTTTTGCCAACTGAATTTAATTGAGTAATTGAAATATTTGTGTGCAAATGAAAATTGCCTTTTTTGTGCACATGCTTCATAATTTATTTATGCGAAATAATAGTGGGGCTCACACACACACACACACGCACACAGTGAGTGCTATGCAGTATCTGTGTATATGTATGTATCTGCAAGATGCCAAATATAAAATGAATTGAAAATCAATTGGCGGCAGTGCGGCTGCGTAGCCTGTCAGCGTGTTGCGTCGCTTTGACAAATTGCCCCGCCACTGACGACTGTCCAAGAGAAGAGCGTGCGAACCAGCCAACAAAATGAAAGCCACACAAGCAACAACAACAACAAAAAGTAGCACAACAAAACAGCGCGAAAAGTGGGCAAACAACAGCAAAAGTCGTCGAAGAGGTAGGTGGCCCCCGCGGCAGGGCAGCAATTAGCGGGCAATAGGCAGAAGTGCCTCATCCCCTCCTCAGTCCCTACCTCCTCAATGCAAAATATTTTTTCCACCAAGCCAATAATAACAGCTGAAACATTTGAAATACTTTTTCCCGACAGAAGTGTCCCTGCACTTGCAGCTTAATTGTTGTCTGTGGTGACGGGTGGTGACACCTCTTGCCTCTCTTATTGTATGCTGTATGTAGGCTGCCCGCCTCAAGAGGTGGATAATTCCTATAGTAGCTGAGTGCCTCTCTGTTGATGTCGTATTATAAATTTCATTGCTGATTGCCGACGGTGGGGAATCGGCTGCGAAATCAACGCACAAAATAAACAATTTAATGGGAAATGCCAGGCAAAATCATAAAAGAAATGAGCCCAGTTCGATATAAATACTCATATGTACATATATCATACACATACAAATATATACATACACATACATATGTGTGTATGTACATGTGTATATGTTTGTGTGTGTAATATCGCCTAATGGCGCTTGACGTTGCTTTTTGCCCGCGCGCTAATTCCTTTGACCAGCAAATGCGACAATAACAAACAGACGAAATGCTAATTAGTTTCATGTGTGACTAATGGATACGAAAAGCGGCACACACACACACAGTCAGAGATACAAGATACAGCTACAGCTACAAGATACGTTTGCAGAGATACACATGCGTGACTGCCGCTCATTTCTGTTGTTGCTGTTGTTGTGGCACACACTTAATTAAAATAGTACACTTTTGGGTAGCAGGCGTAGCAGGCTCTGAGGGGGTCTCATTCCCATTCCCATTCCCGAGACGAGAGACCCACTTAGTTTTTGGCGTATCTTTTGTGTAGTATGGCCTCATGCCTAATTATAATTACGTGTATAATAAGCCGGGCGCGTAAATTGAATTTTTGACTTTTAGACCACCGGTCAACGGGGTTTACCGGGTGTTTCGCTCTGGGCATTTGGATATTCTCTAAACGGTATTTATTTTGGCAAACCGCCGGCGTACGCGACCTGCAAGGCGTTTCGTTCGCTCGGCAATACGAATCCGAAAGCTAAAACCAAAACAGAGCCCAGAACCGAATCTGAAGCGAAACCGAACGGAATGGAGCGGAACGTAGAGCAAAGGCAGAGCCCCAGACCAGACCAGGCCAGAACAGGCCAGAACACACACAATCCGATACCAAAACCGACCACGACCACGATGGCAACGATTCTGAACGACTTCTGAGTGTGAGCGCTATAAAGCACGAAAAACGACAACGGCAACGACAACGGCAACGACAACGGCATGATGATGATGATGATGACGATGATGACGAACCAACAACAAGAACGACGACTGTGCTGCCGCTGCTGCTGCCTCTGTTGCTGCTGCTGTTGCTGCTTCTGTGAACTGCGCCGTGCAACTATTTAACGACGACTGAATGTGGCAATTATGTATCTAGATACATTTTGGCCAAACGCAGACTGCTGTCTGTCTGTCTGACTGTCAGTCTGTGTGTGTTTGTGTTTGTGTGGGGGTTGCTAAACGGGGGAACCATCATAAAACATATTACTATAATTACAATTATGGTGCGCACTCTCACAGCCAGAGAGTCACACACACACACACACACACTCACAGATACAATACACATGCAGCCATAGCTGGTGAAAGATAGAGATACAAACAGTTGCCGCGCGCACGTGAACATAACGCACGGCAATAAAACACAAATTTTCATATGCATTACGGCTTAATTGTATCTCGTTGGGGTCTGCTCGTATCTGTGTGTCTGTCTGCTCGTGTGTGTGCGTGTGTGTATGTGTGGGAATCTCATAAATTGGCGCTCGTCTGGCCATTCGGTTCAGTTCGTTCCATCGCTTGGCAACATGTTGCCGGCGTTGCTTGTTGCTGGCAGACTTGAGCTTTTGTATTTTTGAGGCTGACTCCGCTTGTTGGGCGATGATTATTAAATGCTGAATGTGTTTTATTGCTTTGATTGTTCCCTGCCTTCATGCCTTCGCATACACATACACGTACTCGTATTGCTCTTTATCCTCTCTCTTCTCTCCACTCCACTCCACTCCCCTCTCCAAGTATGCTCTGGCCACCTTCTGCCTGTTTCTGTATCTTTTGCATTGCAAATTGCCGACGTCGCTGGCTCTGGGCTCTGTGCTCTGTGTCTGTGTCTGTCTTTGCCTCTGAGTTTGTTTTTAATTCTCTATAATTGAGTTATATGTACATATACTTTAATAAGTTGGCGGCGGATGCTGCTCTGCGCTGCTTTGGGGAGTGGATTGCAGTTCATATTGCGCGCTGGTTGTGGCTCTTGCCGTTGTTATGCTGTTGCATAGGGAATTATGATTTGGATCAGAAGTTTGCCACGCAGAAGTTTGCAAGTTTTATTGACCCTTGAAAAAATAGTTGATTTCACCAGGCTGGGCAGAGAACATATCATGGAACAATAGCTGGAAAAAACACATATCGCTTTGTGTGAGAGTAAATCCAATTCCCAATTTCAATGTTATATATTTTTATATTCCATAACTAAGCCAAACTTCATTTTCATTTAACAGTTAATCCGATCAAAATTTAACATTAAATTCTGCACATCTAAAATAATTCACATCCGATTTCTGCTTCAGTTTCCTGCCACACTAAAGGGTATCCATTTAGTTGAGCTTGTTTGTTTTTTATTTAAGAAGTGCTTTCTGTGCTGTTGTTGTTGTTGCCATAACGTTTAGCGCTAATTAATGCTGAGCCAACTGGCTTTCATTGCCAGAAGAGCCGCAGCCTTTCGGCCTGGCTGGTTTTGTCTTTCGCTGCTTAATTGTTCACTGAGATTTATTATTTGATTAATTATTGAGATTTTGTGGCCAAAAAAACGTTGCCTTGCCCCCTCCGGTTTTTCTTTCACTTTGCCAGTTCTCTTTTACATTTCTTTCAAAGGTTTTTCGTGTGGAGGCATGGAGCGTGGAGCATGGAGCATGGCGCTTTTCTTCGGCAATAATTGGTGTATAATTTCATTTCCCGAGAACCCCGCTCTGGGTCACTGCACACACAAAAGCTATTCACTGTGCCTTTTTTTCTGGTTCCATATTTCGTAATTCAATTTGTTGTTGTTGCTGCTGTTGGGGGGATTAGTCAGCCCCAACAATTTGTGTGTGTGGAGAGTGTTTCTGCTGCTGTTGTTGTTGTTGTTGCGCTATTTATAAGTAATGTGTGTAGGGACCGGACCGGACTGAACGACAGCTCAATTAGCTGTAATGGAGGCGATTATTAATGGGCGATATTATGCTATTGATAAGACCGATTACTCATGCTCCCTGCCGGCCCACGAATGTTTGTTTGTTTGTTTGATTTGCGATTTATTTTTAGGCTATCGCCAATTGATTTCCACGTATATATTTGCCCATGATTAATGCGTGGTTTTATTGCCATCAGTTGTGCAGCAATCATTGCACTACGCGCATAATTCCAATCGTTTCTTCCTAATGATCTGGCAATGAACTCCTAAGCGTTAAAGTTTTTCCACATTGGCCGAGCAACAGTTTAAGCCCCCTGGCATCATTAGAGTGGCAGCACAACAATGGGGCAATAACAATGACCCTCTTCTGAGCAGCCTGATTGCTCATTTCAGACAAAATTGAATTGAAGATTCGCAACAAGAGGGACGACGCGGACTCCCCCCAGTCCCAGTCCCAGTCCGAGTGGTATGCAAAGGATGGCAGGCAGGAAGGAAGGAAGGCTGTGCCCAGAGGGAGAGTGAGAGAGAGAGAGGTAACTAAAAATAGCTACGAAAATATGAAACAAGAAATAACATCAACAAGAAGATGCTGATGCTGATTCTGATGCTGAAGATGAAGCAATTTAGATACACTTGAATAGGAATACGAAGAGGGACGGGACCGCGGACCGCGGGGAGGGGACTGCGACCAAGAAGAGACCCACTTCAAAATGAACACAGCAATGAGATGGGGAATCTCATGTTCAGGCTGCATGCAAAACAAATTGTGCGTTGCATGGGGTGATGATGCCCCTGATGAATGCTGTTGCTGTTGCCGCTGCTTCTGCTGCTGCTGATGATGCCCCCTGATTATGATGAAGCCAGTCCACTAACACAAAAAAACTACTGCTTCACTTCATCTTCAATGGTTTGCTTTGGAGTTCAAATGCGAGTGGAGTTCTCAGCTTGAATGAGTTTCTCATGGAGTCCGAGGCTGCCAACTTCAATGGATAAATTGTAAGATTTAAATACGATTTAGTGGCACAACATCAGAGATTCACTTTCAAGTTTACTGAAGGGATTCTATTTGAATGGTTCTTTTATTTTTCGAAGTTTTATTACCTCTGAGGCTTGCATCCTCATTGGATATTTTAAGCGTCCAAACACAAGTAAAGTAGTGCAGAGGTTTCCATCAATGCACGGACAACCTCTCAGTGGATCGCTTTGACGAGCTCCACTACACTACCAGAAACACGCGGCGGAACAAGCGCTAACGATGAACGACGACGATTTAAACCGGCCGCGGCAGCCGTTCGCTCGGTCGTTAACGCAAAACAAAAATTTACAACTGTGAATGTGATTGTGGATTGTGAGTGCCCCACAGCGCCAAACAAGCCCCGCAACACATAGCAGTGCCCCGGCAACATGTTGCGCGTGGCCAGGATGGCCAGGCAACATCTGGGCGATGGAGGAAGGGGGCAAGCAAGTAAATAAACTTATTATAAATATCTCCACTTAAGGCAAGCAATGCCGCGACACGGCGCAGTGGGGGCCACTTATGCTGCAGGCAACAATAAAGCAAGCAGCAACCCAGACCAGGGATACCCTCCGCTGCAGGGGCACAACAAGATGGCAGATACTCTTTCATATTGATTGCAGCAGTGGGATGGAGTCATTTAATCCCACCACAATCACTTCCCTCTTTGCTTATCAAACAACTGATCGAAATCATAATACCCTATTAGCAAGGGTATAAGGCAGCAGCAGAAGCAACAGCAGCAGCAGCAGCAGAAGCACGAAGCTGCAAATGCGCACACGCAGCGCTGAAATTGCTCTCATTCACTCACACACACGCGGAACATAACGAACCAGGGGGAGTAAAGTGTAGAGGGGGGAGAACGAACTCCGCTTCCCATACCGACCCGACAGTAAAGCAACAAAAAGCATTAAATGATGACAACAACATTGCGCTTAATGGACTTCTTGCCCGCGTTTGCGTCTCAATTCAAAAGTGCATTTAGCTCTCCCTCTCTCACTTGTTATGCTGCTCTCCCTTTCTGTCTTGCTTCCGCACTGGCTCTCCTACTCTCTCTCTGTCTCTGTCTACACACTCTGGGATGTTGAGAGATATGTATCTCTCTGGCTGTTTATCCTTCTCTGTCTAATAGCGTGTTTGCTCTTGTCTGGCGTTATAAATCCATTATAATAAAATCATTTTGTTGTTTTATTAGCCTGGCAGCATGTTGCCAGAGCATGTTGCTCTGTTCTCTGGCTCTCTCTCTCTATCCTTCATTGGGAGTCAAGTGCTTTGGCAACATGTTGCGCTGCTCATAAATATTGCAAGTGTTTTCAATTAGCTCACATTCTGTGACTTTCATATTAAATGAGAGCGCGAACAACGTGTACGAGTGTACGAGTGTATATGGCATACGGGCATGTGTGTGTGTGTGTGTGCCTCAGTATGGGTGAGAGGGTGGTGGTTGGGCTCTTGCTGGAGTTGATTCCAATTATAAATTGCATGGCGCATGTGATGCAATTAAAAGCAAAACAGAAAAAAAAACATTGAGAACAAGAAACAAGAAAGGTCAGCTTGGAGGACCGAAATTCGATATACCCTTGCTGATGGTCCTTGGGTACAAAAAAACCATATGAAATTGTGTTTTTATTTTTTTATTTTTTGGATATAAAAAATTTTGTATTCTTTTTAATGACCATCCGGATACGATTGTGAACTGTGCTTTAATTCCGAAGGGACATGATTATGCTGATACGGTAACGAGACTACTTATAATGTGTTCCTTAGAGGGTCGAAAGTGTGATGTGATTTCTACGCAGCATTGCCAACATTTGGCCACAATCGTAATACCCCTTTGAAGGAGGTATACAAATGCAGAAAAACAGTTGGGGAAGTGCAGGCGAAAAAGGTCAACGTTTTTGAGGTCAGGCAAATGGCAAAGGAGTTTTCTCCAGCTGCCAGTTCTAGGAGTCATGCAATCAACGCACTTCCGC